CCTTGGTGACCGCGCTACAAAGCGCTCACATGCTGTAACATCACGCGAGCGAGACTCCAGAACTCAAACACTTCAGTTGAAACTTTGTGACTGCCAGAGATCTTCAAAAGCCTAAAGTCTTACAAACTCAGACTCTTTCAGAAGAACTGCCAAAGCCTCTGCGTCACCAGAAAACCCCATTCATCAGGAGGGCATCCCCAGATCCAAACGACAGATCAGCAACCAATCAAAGGCGCTGGGATTCCCTCAAGCAGCCAACAAGGAAAACTCAGTTCAGCTTTCCAGCGCAAACGCAAGTAACAAACAAAGTTTTCTATCTGCTGAAATCGGTGCTGAACTAATTAAGCAGTAACGATAAGACAAAGGTGTGTGTGTGTGTTTTCATTAGTTTAGTTTAATGTAATCTAGAATAGTGAATAAACTGTTGTTACATTTATAAAGAAGTATTGTCTTGTGTCGTGTAATTTTAAAGTCTAAACTCTGCCCAGATCCTTTGTTACCTAGCTCGTAGCTTATAAATTATCAAAAGCATGTATTAGCCTTTGGCCAGGAATAGTACAAATATTCAAATTGATGAGATATACTGATGTTAACGTCTCGCTGGACGACCGTTGATAAAGTGTAAACTATCAATTTTGGAATCAGTTCAATCAGGTTGATCTTGAATCTTCAGATTCGATTCCCCCTCTGAAAACCTGAGCTAAACAATACATTTGAACGTTCTGTTATAATGCTACTCTGTGCAGTCGTCACCTGTCTAATAAAATGCATAGCATATTAAAGCGTCTTTGGCGTTTCCATGTTTTCTACAAAACAAAACCGGAAATCGAGGGTGTATGACGTCATTGGCAGGCGACACAATGGCACTATGGACACGGTTCATTTCACACTTCATTTCCAGCGATACCGTTGACTTGATTGCAAAGATACTATTTAAACTGAGCTGGATGTTGACATCACTGAATTCAATGATGAACTGTCTTTAACTGAAAAATTTGTTTACTATTGTCATTTTGCATTATTGACACACTATTTTCCTAATTAATGCTGTTCAGTTGCCTTGACACAATCTGTATTGTTAAAAGCGCTATATAAATAAAGGTGACTTGACTTGACTTGACGTCCGTGTCACTAGTTAAAATTGCTTATTTCTCTGGATTTCAACATTCTTCGAAACATTTGGGATAATGTAAGTACACAAGTCAGCAAAATATATAACACTGTTCTAGTGGTTTTTGGATATTTTAATAAAAAAATCTTACATATTTTGCTTTTAAGCATGTGAGTTTTTAGGTTCAATAATCAAAACCTCTGTTTTTTTCTGAGTTTAGTAGTAAGAAGTTACTAGTCAATCATCTTTTTTTTATATCAACTATGCATTTTGTGACTTTTGCAAATTGGTATGTTTCATCTGGCCTTGAGAAAATATAGAGCTGGGTATCGTTAGTATAACAGTGAAAACTAACTCCAGGCTGCTTAATGATATCTCCTAGGAGTGACATGTGCAACATGAAAAACAATGGTCTGAGTACTGAGTCCACATTAAACTTGTGATCAATATGATACCTCATTATTTCATTCGGTGCTCCTCCAGATGACCAGATGTCGACTGCGGCATCGGAGGGTGAGCTGGAGTCTGGGGATGAGGACTCGGCTGCATTACCCCCTTTGGGGAGAGTAGCGTTGCCCGAGCCTGACCCAGAATTGACAGCTATGCTTTCCCGGGCTGCCAAGGCGGTCGGGCTCGAGTGGAGAGAGCCACCGTGTCCTGAGCCATCAACGTTAGACGACTGGTATCTCAGGGCGGCCGGGCTGGTTCTCAGCCCCCGCCTCAGTGCCATTCTTCCCGGAAGTGCATGAGGAGGTGACAAGGTCATGGATGGGACATTTTTCTGCCCGAAACCGGTCTGGTGCCTCCTCCTACCTCACTACCCTCGATGGTGGGGCGGCCAGGGGATACGCAGAGATCCCCCGCCCGGTGGAGCGCGCGGTTGCGATGCAATTGTGTCCAAGGAGCGCTTCCACCTGGAGGGGTAACCCGCATTTCCCATCCAAGGCCTGTAAGTTCTCGTCCGTTCTTATGGCCAAGGCTTACGGAGTCGCTGGACAGGCTGCCTCCACCCTGCATGCCATGGCACTCCTGCAGGTATACCAGGCCAAGGCACTAAAGGAGTTGCACGAGGGTAGTTCTGACCCAGGGTTGATGCAGGAGCTGTGCACAGTGACGGACCTCGCCCTGAGAGCAACGGAAGTCATTGCGCGCTCCATGGTCAGACGATGGCCACGTTGGTGGTCCAGGAACGCCATCTCTGGCTGAACCTGGCGGATATGCGGGAGACCGACAAATATAGTTTTCTCGACTCCCCTATCTCCCAGGCCGGCCTATTCAGCAATGTAGTCGAGCGCTTTGCCCAGCAGTTCTCGGCTGCCCAGAAGCAGATGGAGGCAATCAAGCATATCCTGACCCGGTGGCCCGCTGCTGTTTTCAACCCTCCGCCGGCTGCAGCTGCTCCGCCTGCTCGGTGCCGAGGGCACCCCCCCTGCAGCTTCCTCCGCTCCTGCTCAGCCTCAGCAGCAGCGTCCACCAAGGCCACAGTGGGGAGCTGGCCGCAAGGGTGCGGCACCGCCCGTCCCAGCCCCTGCCATACCAGGCGGCAAGTGTAAGTGCAAGCGGCCCTGAGCCTGGCAACCCAGAGATGGAGGGAACAGCTGTTCGGGAGATGGTGACCGCACCACTCCCTCCCCTGGAGGAGGGCCGGGTGGAGAATCTTTTGTTTCCTTTTTGTTCCCCAAACCATCAAAAAAAAGAGCAGTTTCCACTATATCTGGGTTCCAAGAGGGTGCGGATGACGTGTCACGCTATGCCTGGCCAGCCTCATCCCCCTCTCCTATCGCCAGTGGGCAGCAGGGGCCGGTTTGAGAATGCCATGCCTTCTCCCATGCCCCCTGCCCAAACCTGGAGCCAGGTAGGTGTTGCACTGCACACCTTGACCCCACTTCGGGATGCTATGCCTTCCAAGTCGGGTCCCTGTCCTCCACCACGTTGCCCCACCATGGGTACGTCTGTGGTTCCTCTGGTCCCACTTGTATGGTCTCTGGGAGCCTGGCTAGAGCTCCCCAGCACGTCTTGCTGGCTCATTTGGACCATCAGACTCAGCTATGCGATTCAGTTTGCCCGGCGTCCCCCCAAGTTCAGGGGCATCCAGTTCACCTCTGTGCTGACCAGCGGTGCTTCTGTCTTACGGGCAGAAATCGCAGTCCTGCTGGCAAAGGATGCGATAGAGACGGTCCCTCCAGCCGATATGAGGTCAGGGTTTTACAGCCCTTATTTCATTGTACCCAAGAAAGGCAGTGAGTTAAGACCAATCTTGGACCTGCGAGTTTTGAACCGGACCCTTCACAAGCTACCGTTCAAAATGTTGATGCAGAAATGCATTTTCAAATGCATCTGTCCCCAAGATTGATTTGCAGCCATTGACCTGAAGGACGCTTACTTTCATGTCTTGGCACAGGCCATTTCTCCGCTTTGAGTTTGAGGGACGGCATATCAGTACAAGGTCCTCCCCTTCGGGCTGTCCTTGTCACCCCACATCTTCACGAAGGAACTATCTCGACGACTGGCTCATTCTGGCTCAGTCGTGAGATCAGTTGTGCAAACACAGGGACATGGTGCTCAGTCACCTTAGCCAGCTGGGACCTTGGGTCAACTGGGAAAAGAGCAAACTCTCCCCTGTGCAGAGGATCTCTTTTCTTGGTGTGGAGTTGGACTCGGTCAACCTGACAGCACGCCTCACAGAGGAACGTATTCGGTCGGTGCTGAACTACTTGAATTCTCTCAAGAGCAGGACAGCGGCCCCACTGAAACTATATCTGAGGATCCTGCGAAATATGGCATCCGCAGCCACAGTAACGCCGCTCAGACTGCTTCATATGAGGCCGCTTCAGCACTGGCTTCACGGCCGAGTCCCGAGATGGGAGTGGCAACGCGGCACGCACCAAGTGACAATCACTCCGGCCTGTCGCCAAGCTTTCAGCCCATGATCGGACCCTGCATTTCTATGGGCAGGAGCTCCCCTAGTAAAGGTGTCCAGGCATGCTGTTGTGTTCACGGATGCCTCCACCACAGGCTGGGGTGCCACGTACAATGGGCATGCAGCTTCGGGTATTTGGATGGGTCCCCATCTGAATTGGCATATCAATTGCCTCGAGTTGCTTGCAGTACGCCTTGCGCTGGGCCACTTCAAAATGCTGCTACGGGGCAAGCACCTACTGGTCCGTACAAACAACACTGTGACCGTTGTGTACATCAACCATCAAGGTGGTCTACGCTCCCGTCGTATGTCGCAACTCGCCCGCCACGTCATGCGGTTCCTGGCCAGCCTCGTCCCCCTCTTCTACCGCCAGCGGCCAGCAGGGCCCAGTTCGAGGACGCCATGCCTTCTCCCGCACCCCCTGTCCAACCGTACAGGTGTCCAGGCATGCTGTTGTGTTCACGGATGCCTCCACCACAGGCTGGGGTGCCACGTACAATGGGCATGCAGCTTCGGGTATTTGGATGGGTCCCCATCTGAATTGGCATATCAATTGCCTCGAGTTGCTTGCAGTACGCCTTGCGCTGGGCCACTTCAAAATGCTGCTACGGGGCAAGCACCTACTGGTCCGTACAAACAACACTGTGACCGTTGTGTACATCAACCATCAAGGTGGTCTACGCTCCCGTCGTATGTCGCAACTCGCCCGCCATCTCCTCCTATGGAGTCAGAAGCATCTGAGGTCACTTCGTGCCATTTATACTCTGGGCCTGCTCAATCGTGCAGCCGACGAGCTCTCACGACAGCCTGCGCTTCCGGGAGAATGGAGACTCCATCCCCATATGGTCCAGCTGATATGGAGACACTTCGGAGCCGCACAGGTAGACCTGTTTGCCTCTCCAGACACATCCCATTGCCAGTTGTTCTATTGCCTGACCGGGGGGACCCTCTGAGTGGATGCACTGACACACAGCTGGCCCCCGGGGCCTATGAAAATATGCGTTTCCCCAGTGAGCCTACTTGCACAGACACTGTGCAAGGTCAGGGAGGACGAGGAGCAGGTCCTGCTAGTTGCGCCTTACTGGCCCAACTGGACCTGGTTCCCAGAACTGATGCTCCTCATGGCAGCCCCTCCATGGTGCATTCCTCTGAGGAAGGACCTACTTTCTCAGAGATGGGGCACCCTTTGGCCCCCGCATCCAGATATCTGGAACCTCTACGTGTGGTCTCTAGATGGGACACGGAGGTCCTAGGTGATCTACCCCAGGCGGTGGTAGACACCATCACTTCGGCAAGAGCACCCTCTATGAGGCATGCCTATACCTTGAAGTGAAACCTGTTTGTTGAATGGTGCTCTTCTCACCGGGAAGACCCCTGGAAATGCCCGATCAGAGCTGTGCTTTCCTTCCTCCAGGAGGGGTTGGAGCGAAGGCTGTCTCCCTCCACCCTAAAAGTGTATGTTGCCGCAATTGCCGCACAGCTTAGAGGGATCATTGATAAAGAGAAACAACCATGATCAGACGATAAGAGGCTAGCCTGAAGGTTTTTGGTACGTGTCATAATAACAATAAAGAGTTTATAAAGTTAAAAGGAGGTTCTACGACTTCTGGAAACATCTATTTTTATAGTTTGGTAGGTACAGGGTCTAATATACAAGTTGTTGATTTAGATGACTTTACAAGTTCAGACAGTTCTTTCTCACCTAAAGTAAGGGAGGAATGAAATTGTTCCTTTGGAGATACAGTGCCCACAGTGTCTGGCACGATGCACAATACGATAGCAGGCGGTTGCATGGTTATTATTTTGTTTGTATCAATCTTGCAAGTAAAGAAATTCATAAAGTCATTACTGCTGTGTTGCTGGGAAACATCTGTACCTGTTGATATTTTATTTTTGGTTAAATTAGAATTAGTTTTATTTCTGGCCAAGAGCTTTGTAACCCTTCACAGACTGATGTATTTCAATCACCTTCTTCCTCATAATTTCTGGAGTTTCTTTCACCTTTGGCATTGTGTTACTGTTTAAGACATTTTAGCCAACTTCATGCTGTTGAAAAAGTTCTGTTTAAGTGTTGATTTGATTGAACAGGTTTGGCAGTGATCAGGACTGGTTTTGTTTTAACCCCATTATAAATTGAGTTTCATTTATTTGGGGAATTAGAAACTATGGGGGCAAATACATTTTGAATAACTTTTTAAGTTCAATAAATAACATTGTCATTTACAAACTGTATTTAGTAGTACCTTTTGGTTGCCTTTGTTTTGTGCTAGATTTTGATTTATGACTCGACTTAGTTTGTGGAATTAAATACTTTTTCATAGCACTGTATCCTCTAAGCAGCTGGTGTTGTGTGTTGTGTTCAATTCTAGGAGGAACTCCGTAAAGCACTGAAGTCTTTACAAGAGAAACTTAAACACAATGAAAAACTGAAAGGAGAGTTTGAAAAAACAGTTCAACACATTAAGGTGAGGTAACAATCAGGAGTCATTTTAATTACAGATGTAGGATCACTATATGCAATTGTGATTGTTATTTTTTATATAATAAATTCCCGTTTATGATGTTGTAAATAAGCAGCTATTTGTTTCTGGTTCTGTTATATGTCATTATCCGAGTTTATCAGACATTAATGATGTGAAGTGTTGATGTGTGTTGATTAAGATGATTGAAGTGAATGTGATTTGATTTGCAGTCTCAAGCTGAGCACACAGAGCATCAGATTAAACTACAGTTTGAAAAGCTTCATCAGTTTCTCAGAGATGAAGAAGAAGCTACAATTACTGCACTGAGGGAGGAAGAGGAGGAGAAGAAGCAGATGATGAAGGAGAAGCTGGAGGAGATCAACAGACACATCTCAGCTCTTTCACACACAATCAAAGACACGGAGGAGATGATGAAAGCCAGTGATGTCTGCTTTCTAAAGGTCTGATTTCAGATCATTGATTGATTGATTGATTGATTGATTGGGTTCTTGATGATAAATTGTGTGTTTGTTCTGCAGGAGTTTCCAGTCTCAATGGAAAGGTGAGTGATATGCTGGTGTTTCTGGTCTCTCTGCTTCTGAAGCCAAAACCACTGTAGTTCTGACTCCTGAATGTTCTTCCAGAGTCCAGATCCCATCACAGCCGGATCCACAGACGCCTTCTGGAGCTTTGATTCGTGTGCCACGTTACTTGGGCAACCTGCCCTTCAGAGTCTGGAAGAAGATGCAGGACATTGTCAAAAATAGTGAGTCTGGAGATGATCTGTGCTCTTACACACACAGTTTTCATGGCACAAATGTACTAGATTTTTTCAGTAGGTAGTGAGTGTAGGATCTCTGTCTTCGAACGGACTTACTCTCTCGAGTGAAGGCTTTTCGCCGCTTGCTCTCCCGAACGCAGGCTCTTCGCCACTTGCTCTCCCGAGCAAGGCCTTTTCGCCGTGTGGAGAGCACTGTACTTTGTGCTCACAAGCTGAACCATCAGGCGATCGACCATCTAGACCTCAACTACTCCGTTGAAGCTTCGTAACTCTGCAGAACGCAAAGTCTTGCTAAAGCAGACTCTCTCAGAAGAACTTCGAGGCTCCTCCGCAACCCGGCAACCAACCAATCACCGCCGAGGACATTCCCAGAAAAGACGTCAGCCAAACGTCATCTCAGCAACCAATCAGAAGCTCTGGAATTCTCTCCGGCTACGAGGAAACCCCGTTGCAGCTGAACTTGAAACGCGGTGCTCAGAGAGAGTGTCCAAACGTTATTTTTGTTATGGGAGAATTGTGAAATCTTGATCAAGTGAAATTGTGGTTAAATCCACGCGTTGTTGTCTGTATAAATATGTGCTGATATCCGCCGAGATATCATTGACAGTTATTGTATTTATTGCAGTAAAGCTATACATTAATTTACCTCGCTCGAACGAGTTGAGATTGTTCAGCGCTAATAAGGAAAGATAAGAATCTATAGTGCTTTTTGGTTGTGTAATGTGAGGTGCGCTGACACCTCCTGCGATGTACTTAAATTGTGTATAACCATCGACTGTGTGTAGCACACTTAAGGCACACTTAAGGCTGATTTATACTTCTGCGTCGGACCTACGCCGTAGCCTTTACGCTGTAGGCTATGCGTCAGTTTTCATTTATACTTCTGCGTCGTTGTCCGCGTTAACGTGCAGTACACATGCAAGGTTAATAATGACACCAGTAGATATTGTTGGTTTATCCGTAGGGATTTGAAATTAAGTTAATTTCATAATTAATTATAGATTTGAAACTTTAATTTCATTTCACAAATTAATTTCAGTTCCTGCTTCCACATGGCAACAATATTTACTGATTAATTTAATTATAGGTGCTATTATAATTTAAGGACAACAACATTAAAAGTTTAATCTTTAACCATCACCTCTAATTTGAAATTTTAATTTCCTTTGCAATTAGGTCCTGCTTTTACCTGTTAGTTTATAAGAGCACTGGCCCATCCAGTTAGTAAAATCCGAAAAAAGAAAATCAGGGTTTTCCTCAATACTTAGGTCAGTTAGTCCCCTGTTACTAACAGAGCAAAACCAACCCCCTAGGTGTATCAATTTAACAGCGCCACCACCCTGTCATTTTTCCTAACATTTGGGAGCAAAACTTCTCTCTCCTTCTCCTTCTCTCTCTCAGCTGTTTTCTTCTGAGTTGACTACTGCGGCTGTTTGCTGGGATTTTGCCTGTGAAAATCATAAAGCAGAGATTTTTAGCAATAGAACAGGTATTTGTGAAACTTGAGAACGTTGGTTCAAAATTGTCTTCCATTTACCTTCCACTCTCTTGCGAAACCCTACCCAGCTAAGAGGACTGATAGGCGTTCGCCAAAAATTGAACACGCATCTAGGAAGGATCTAATTGGTGGACGGTGTCAATCTTAACAGCTAAAATTCCTCCTTCACCCGGAGGAATTTTAATAACAATCACAGTCCTGGTATTAAGAAATCCCCATTCTTAACCAAAAGGGAAAAGAGAAGAGAATTTAATTATACTCATTCTGCTACCAGAGAAGGGTATTTTGTTGTTTTATCTTTCACTTTCATCTTACCATTAACTTTCTTACTTTATAAAAAAAAAACCCTTTCTCTTACAGGAAAATTGGAAGCAGCCAATTACTATTCTGTTCCTTGCTTTGTTTGTTATTTTTCTTTTCTCCCTCTGTTCTCTAGCTGTGCTACCTGTGTGTGCTTACTAATTTTCCCACAGCTCTATTGGCCACTGGGAAGACCTCGAGACCTGGCTAAGTGTTGCAACAGACAGCCTCCTACCTAAGGCTGCTGAAACACTGAAGCATCAGACACAGGACCAGCTGGATGACAACATAACAAGCCTTATGAGACAAGACCCAAGTCAGAGCTACAGTCACAAAGAATTAGCAAAGATCACCGGCTCCTTAAGCCACACACTCATCGCCACCCTCAAGCTGAGCGACAGGCACGCCGCCAATCTCCAGCAGGAGCTAACATGTGCACAACGACGCGTCGAGCAGCTAGAACTGGAGGCTCAGGAACGACAGGAAGGGCCTGATGAAGTGGAATAAGGCGCAGAGGAGGAGATCACTAGGCTAAAAGAGATCCTAGCAGCTACGACCCAAGAAATGGAACAAGGCAAGGCTGACTACGCTGATCTCTCCAACAAGCTACAATATGCAGAACAGCTCCTGACCCTGAGTCAGAACAAGGACTAGTGGCTGCCCTGGAGACGAGACAAGAACGTCATGAATCTCCTCAAGCCTACTACAGCCGACTCAGACGAGCATACTTCGGAACTCGCAACGAACCGGAAATGGATGATGATCTGAACTTCAAAACTCTCTTCCTGAGAAACCTCCATCCTGGAGTAAGCCACCATCTTGGCGTTCTCGTATGTCCACGAACAATGAATGCTCAACAGTTGCGAGACTTGGCGCATAAAGCCTACGGCAAACAAAAGATGGCCTCAGAAAAGGGCACCAAAACCCCAACAGGTCTTGACTTCGACACTCAAAGTCAAGGTCTGGCTCTAGTGGGCGCCCAACATCAAGACCATGACAAGCCGCCACAAGAGTGGAACACACCCTCGTCCAACAGAGAACGAGACTCCTTATAACTTATCAAAGAACGTATTAACCCGTGGCCAG